GGGAGGCAGAGCTGCGTTTTCAGGCAGACAAAACATAAAATTCTCATTTTCTGTGTACTTATGCCTTCGTTAGCCTGAGTCCTGCCTGAGACTCACAGACACCCAGGGTGAAATGTGGGACCCACTGCGGAAGGTGGAAACTTTTCATCTCGCTTCACTGGGGCTGTGATTTCAGTTCATAGAACACAGAGCAAACAAACGCTGGGTGACTGTGTAGCTTAATTAAGAAAGAAATTATTATTCTAGAAGAGAACTACTCTTCCTTTGTACAACGCTTTTTGCTGTAGAAACCAGGTCATTTCAATTTTGCATTAAAGATTACTGGCACAAAAAGGGTAACTGGCTTGTCACTCATCGCTCAGCTTGCCCGTGACGGAAAGGAATAAAGCAGAGTTCTCATGCACAGTCCTCTGCTCCAGTAAATGTACCTTTCTTCCAGTTTATATCTGTAAGATTAAACTTTTCAAAACATTTTACTATTTTACCTGTTTCAGTTTCACTTAACGTTATATCGAGATTCCTAGAATACATGGAAAAATGAGATTAACAGCTCACCGTGCGCTCCTTCACAGCAACTGCTTGAACCCAGGCTCGGAAGAAACCTAGAAAGCAGTTGTGAAAGCGGGAGCCCAGCACCATCTTCCTTACTCAGCGACGTGTTCGCTACTGGTTGATGCTGCTAACTTTTTTTTTTTTTTTTTACCTGACTCCCCCAGGGAGTTCTCTCTGACATAGGAATAAAATAAATCCATTTCACTTTTCAATTTTAATTATTCTCAGTGGCAGCAGATTTTAATCTTTAAATAGTAGTTCCTTCAGTCTGACAACGTTGCACCTTTCTTTTGCGAGCAGCTCAACAGCCAGAGAGTGAATGCAGAGCGCCTTGCATGCCCTTATGTTTTACTTGTCTGGCTCGACGCCTGCTGCAACAACTTGATCCAACAGCTGAGAAGGTCAGAAGTTAAACTGGTTGAAGAGAATCCAGTTTCTAGTTTTAAAAGCACAGCTCCCCTTCCGTGGCTTCCTCTCCTCCCTGGACTAATACAGTAAGCAGGGCCGAGAGTCTGAACATGTTTGGAAGAACAGATTTATCTAGAGAGGTTCTAACTAATATGGGAAAGAAATGCACCAGCAGTCATCTTCTAAGATTGTTCTAAGAAGCGAACTTTGCTCTTCTGCAGCCTTGCATGGCCGAAAGAAGCGCGGGTGTAACTCGCCGCGGTGGCTTCAAAGGAGCGGGTCGATCAAAGCCTCAGAAGAATTCCCCGTGCTTGCTTAAATGTCACTTTAAAGGCGGTTCCACAGCATTGATAAACTTCACATTTTGGGAGAAAAGGAATAATCTAACAAATATTTGCCACCCCCTGCCGAAATATGTGCTAGCAGCTTTAACGAGACTTAAATTTCGCTTGAAGAGGAATCTCTTTAATCGACTGCCTGCAGTAAAACACGTTGGGGATGTCCCATCCCCTCCTCGACTGCCGCCCGCCTGCATTCAGTGGTGGGTGGCAGGCTGAGCCCCGAAAGCTTGCTCCAGGCGTTTCTGCGCATCCTCCGCCGTCCGTCTGTTCCAAAGTGCCTGGCTGCCCCGCCGGGATGGGCTTCCGGCGGTCGGAAGTGAAGGGATTCTCCAGGTCCTCGGGAAGCGGTCAGGCTTCGCAACTGACGTTTTGTTCTCTGCTGGGCTGGGAGGCGTCTGGCATTTGTACAACGGCTTTCCGTCCGACTATTGCCAAAACAGAAGGCTACGGGCAACGAGTTTACTTAAATAAAACCTCATTAAAATAACTTCCATGTCTAAACTGAAGTTTAATGGTCCTGTACTAGGAACGTTGAGCTGGTTCACGATTCTGCTGGGATCTGGGGCTATTCCTCCTCTCCGTCCTCTGTTCCATTAGGCAGTGAGCTGCGCTGGTGCACAGCTCCTGTCTCAGATTACTGCACAGGGAGGATGCTTTCATTTACCACCGGGTACCGAAGGCCACGCCTGAGCTCCAGGCAGCATCCAAGTGTAACAAAAACTGAAACAAACTTGGGACAAAAAGATGTGGGCTTTGGTTAAAACAGCTTCAGGAGTAGGGATGGCTCCCTTTGAATAAGGAAGAAGACCTCACTTCTTCAGTTGTCGTTTTCTCAGCAGCACGCGGTACAGGATGTCCACGCTTCCCTCCTCTGCTGTCACCAGAGCAGCAGGAAAGCTTACCTGTTGTCACCTGCGACTGGTTTCAGCAGGCAGGCGTTGCAGATGGCGATCGTCTTTGTGCCTAGCTCTGCTCTGGAGACTTCAAATGTTTTCTGACTTGGAACCAAAACCAAATTCATTTAGTGAGTGCAGTTAAATATCAGATCTACCTGCAGGAAATGATCTTTTATGCGGAAATATAAGAATTTAATATTGCCATCGGGCATTTCACTGTAAACTAGATGGGGGTAGAGAGAAAATTAAAAGAAACAGAAGGGACAGAGTGGGTTTACGCTTGCGTCGGGTTTCACTGAAGGATTAAGAATCTTCATCATGGAAACCATAACGGAGCGGCGCAGTTCTGTAAACAGATTTGACGGCTGCGATGCCTCTTAAGTGCTTTCAGGCTTCCGATTTTTGTACCGCCGGTTGTCGACAACAGAACTGAAGAATAATACGAGAAGTTGAACAGTATAAAAGCACATTTTATACCCAGCGTACTTTAATACAGTGACTGGACAGGAAATTAAAATCTATAGCGGAACGAAAGAGGGAGGAGCCAGAGGCAGAGAGGAACACGGCCAAGCTGGAGGGTGAAGAAATTTGACGGAGGAGAAGAAAAGTTGTCTGCTTCTCCGTTGGCCCTTCTGCTGTGCCTTGCAGCGGAGGAAACCGGCTGCAGAAATGCCTTCACCTGCAGGAGACTCCTCACAGCGCCAGAGCTTCTGGCTTACTGTTTCTTCTTCCTCCTCTCCTGACTCCCTAGATTTTAAAAAGATTTACCCTTGGCCAGTTGTGCCTTCAGAGGAGGTCTGGAAGGTTGATCTGCATCGACTCCCTGGCAGGGCTGCAAAGATGCTTGCGCTACTGCCTCATCGGTAACCGGAATGCCTATATAGAATCTCCCAAGTGTCCCACACGGAATCTCTGCTGAAATGCCCATTGCTGAAGGAGATGAACCATTCCTCCTCACTCACACAGCACCTTCGGCACGTCGGAGATGACTTGACAGTGAGACCGTGCTCCTTTTGGGAAGGGTGAGCTGCAGGGATGGCTGGAGGATGCCATGTGCCTGGCTGAGCTCCGTGCCAGCAACAGGCACTCGGTGATGGCACCAGCACCCATGGCCATGTCAGGCTCCCGGGATCAGACCGTCACAGGGATCAACGCTTTGCCAGGCTCCTCTTCAGGTGCTGGTCTGACAAGATGTTATCCCACACATTTATTTCCCGTTTTTAAACCGCAGCGAGGAAAAAAATGCATGCAAAGCTGCGGGTTTCACACAGGCTGCTCCACATCGCCAGGTACAGCGGTGCCATGCGTGACCCGCGGCTCTGCCTTGCGGCTTCACCTGCTCCCCCAACGCCCCTTCCCTGCCACGGTGCCTGCCTGCGCCCCTGAGGGCTGCATTCATAGAATCACAGAATCACTAAGGTTGGAAAAGACCTCCAAGATCATCAGGTCCAACCGTCACCCCAACACCCCCATGCCTGGTAAACCATGTCCCGAAGTGCCACATCTACATG